GGGTCAAAAACTGGGCAGGGAACTGGTGTATAGTATACCACTTGGAAGACACACCTCAGTATTTCAGGCAGAAGTGAATGCAATCTTGCATTGCGCAAGAGTAAATAATGAGCGAGCGTATTATAATAAAATGACCGCAATATACACTGACAGTCAGGCGTCACACATAGCGTTAAGAAGTCCTAGAGTGCCAAGAAGAACTGACCACACTGGCGGAACACAACAAAGTAACCTTGATGTGGGTTCAAGGACATTCAGGTAACGCAGGATATGAAGGGGCGGATGAGGTAGCAGGATCACACCCTTCACATATACAGAACCTGCCTTGGGGGTGCCAAAAAGCACAATAAGGAGCCAAGGCAAAGAATGGGTAAGAAACCATCACAAGGAATATTTGCACTTAGTGACTGGATGGAAAAGAATGTATCTCCGGACCATTTCTAAGCAAGGCTGCGTAACTGCTATGATTGAGTAGAAACCAACTCCGTGTAGTTACAGGATTTCTATCAGGACACAATGGCCTGAAAGAATACCTTCGCAAAATAGAACTGTATGATTTAGACCTTAGCTGCAGAAAATGGGGAGAAGGTACAAACAGCCCTACATCTAAGTGCGAGGCGCTGGATCACAAAACACATCAACTCCATGAGAAACCAAAACTAGAACGAGAGAAAATGTACCAACTAGTACAGAACACTAGACTGCTGGATTGAGTAATGTAAATTCGAGGAGCAAGGTACAATAAGCCTAAGAGCAGTGCGATCGGGGACTTCGGTCGGACGACCCCTCCGGAAAGAAAAAAAACCGCTAAACGTTACCTAGACATCTAGGCAAGCTGCAACTACAATTAACTACAGCTATGTCCGTGAAGTAATCGAATTAATTAACTACACGAGTTATAGTCAGCTCAAGTGTTCCAGGAAATATCCCAAATGGGTAATGATTGGCATAATAGCCTACTGCAGACTAATGCATTTTTGATCAGATGCGGAAATGGCAACACCGCCCAGCTTGGCGACCCGGACACGTCCGGACGCCGCTTAGCGTGTTCGTCATGAAACTACGTGCTGGGTCAGACACGGGACCACGGTAACAGAGGCAGGAGGCGACAGATGGGGCGGCCAGGGAAGCTGGGGTTGACGGGACGGTCGGGTAGCAACGCATCAAACTATCTTACAGCCCATCGGAGCAGCAGCGCGTAAACGACGCGAAGGCTAGCCAACCACCATCGACGATAGCCTGTTATTCGGTCGATAAGAAGTGGCACTTTATGGGACATGTCAGTCTTTTGCACTACAACAAGATCGAATATCGGCTTTTAGGGAAAGATATTATATTGACAGTGATATGCAATCAATCAAAAAATGGCGTGATCACATTTATTTCACTTTCAATATTAATAAAATAACATTTATGTAATTTAAATGCTCCCTTGATTTTATAAATTTAAATAATCAATTGATGCACAAAACAGACACCATCAAATTTTTGGTACTGACCATTGATCATGAATTGAAATTTTCTAATCATGCAAACTGCTTACTCAACTAGCAAACATTTTATTTACTATAAGAACAATTAGTTAAAACGTAGGAAATTCACAGCCTTAAGCAGATACTTTGCATTATTTGGGAATAGATTGAGATACCCTTTTCCAAAATTGTTTGAAAAAGTGCGTATTCTACATAAAGGAGCTAGTAGACATATAAGTAAAAGCAATCCTATAGGCTTTTATTTGTAAATCGTAAAATAATGATGGTAGTACCATTCATTTAAGAAGCTCTTGTTTTTTTTTAATAAATCTAAACTTGAAGCATTAAATATTTACAATATTAGACGGAAACAAGATCTTCAATAGGTAGAACCTAAAAGAACATTTGTGAGACTCAATAATTTATAATTTACATGTGTCTCCATGATGCTATCAAAGGAATTAACAATTTAAAGATATTCCGCCATGAACTTCGAAAAACTTCTTAATACGTAAACCATATTATACGTTGTGTGAGTTCTAAAATTCACCTATTTAAAATCCATCTGTGTAATTATGTCATAGTTTAGTTTTAAGTAAGCTCTGTCATTAAGAATGATTTTATTCTTCTGACAATTGTTTGGATGTTACTTTGCTGGACCTATTAATTAGTTAACCGGAATGTTGCAACAATAATTCTAGGTGGATTTTTCGCCTTCTCAGAGGGCGTTTAGCGTACGAACCTCATGTTTGCTTATCGCCTTAGGGGCTGGATGTATTATGGGAACGGAAATGCATACCCCAGGCGAATCTGCGCTTTTCTGGTTTTAGGCGGTGCCAACTTAAAATTGTAATGATGGCTTCGCGAGATCTCGAGATAGTATAGGACCCTTCAATCTATTGTCGCAACATATTCTATAGGAATGAAGAGAAAAAAATGGAGTCAAGTAGGTTGGCTCTGCGCTTCCACGCACCGCTGTCATCACTTCATAAAGCATTATATTTAACCCAAGTTAATCGTTTCCAGCTAGCTTCAAACATGTATAAAAAAAATTATATGAGCCAAGTCAGCCAAACAGTCCCATATTCCATAGTCCTCGTCCACCAGTCAAACATGTCAGAAACGCCAGCCGCGGTACTGTAACATCCCTGGGCCCTGCCCCTGCCGGCGATGCTCTCAGAAGCAAGGCAGGGTTCGGCGGATGAAAGTCGCCGTTGCATCGCATCGGCCCCGACCGCGTGTCTGACTATGAAGTTATGAGGGCAAATGTGTGAAATGTGTACTGATATGTGCGTAAAATTACTGGGGTTAGAAGCGTATAAATGTACTACCGCCAGCAAAATGAGATATACGTTCCCCAGCCCCTACAACCCCCGATTTTCAGCCCCTCCAAAAAATTTTCTGAACATGATAGGGAGCCTCTGAAACGTCAGAAAACAAAATTTGAGCGTTTTTTTGTGTGTTTTTGCCCCTAGTTCCACCACCACTGGACCGATTTTCAAAAGTTTTTTCACCTTTTGAATATTAGTAATTTTGTGCGAGAATTCCATCCAAAACCGTGATACTTCTGAAGTTATAGGCGGTTATAAGATTAGCGGACAGACCGAAAGAAATGAGTGACATGATTTTTCGTGATGTATATGTCATATAAAATCCAAAAACATAATACCTCATTTTCGAAAATTTTCCCGATTACGAGTAAAATAGGTAGTAAATCAGATGATACTGTACTTGCGCAATATTATCAGATGAGAAACAACGATTTAATTCGGATACTGGAATAAACATTTCAATTTTACGACTCGCCAAAAAATTAATAAATCAAAATCAAACCGATCAAAATACTTGCTGAACTTTGAAAATCACCGCGAGTGGCAAGATGTTAATGGTTGCTACGCCATGATATTTAATATCTTATATGCTCGGATTAAAAAAAAATTGCATTTCAAATCGCCAGATTTTAGAAAATGTAAAATAAACGTTTTTCCCACTCGGAAAATTCTTTTTCAATGTCAGGTTTCCGGTTCCGCTCTACAATGAATAAGAACATTGCACGTACCATCCATCTTTTTTGATACATAGTGGATCTTATCCTCTGAAATTCATGTACGTGGAATACTGACCAACTACATTTTGCGAATAAGTATTATATAATTACATAATTTGTTAAAAACTTACTGAATAACAGCTGATTGATTTAAATAACTCAATATTTCCTTCAACGGTTGCTCAGAATTTAAGCGTGTTTATCTCACGGGGAGAATGAATTATTTTTAATTTTATTGATTCTGTAATCTGCAAAATCGCGATATAACAATCCATTGTCATACGTACAATGAGAAATTCTTTGTTTCAAAATTAGTCAGGCATAACTTAGAAACAATAGGTTTGAACCAATACTCTACAGTAATTATCACACACACATACAGTCAAATCATGTGTAGGAAATTGAAAGTGTAATTATTGTACCCCTAACGTTATTCTTGGAAACCTAATCAGCACATGATACCACCCTCCACACACTAACTGACACATTTCCAAAAAATAACTCATAATTGCAGAATCAATCTATTTACCAGACAAAATATAGGTATATCAATATGCATAAGTTTCCTAATATGTGGTTGAATGAGAGATAAAATCCTATACCCTGCGATTGCAGCTCCATATATTTCAGGTCAACGTTCACACGAAGGAAATCTTTAGGGTTTAAACCAAATAGACCAAAATCTCCGCAATCTACAAAAAGAAGTATACGTTATTTACATTGAGAATTTCCATATGCATATCCGAGGATTTAGTTTGATTAATACGCAAGAAAATCCTCAGTTGGTCTTGAGGATTTTCTCCACGTGGATGGCTGCTATTACAAATATGAGTAACAGTTTTAACAACACATAATATGTATATAGTGGATATATAGTAGTGCATTTAAAACTGGTAAACACAAGGTACTGACTGTAAATACATAGATGATATGTAATAGAATGGTACTCATTGTCGAGTTTTCATTCAAGAGTCAAGATCACTATGCATTATAAAATGAAATGCATTCAAACATCGCGACAGTGTTATCAGTGTAAAGACTGACGCGTTTATTGAGACATGACCTCTTCATATTTGCCGATAAAATTCATTATGACAAATTGTATATATCAGAATTTATATATTACAACGATAATGGTAGCGTTTGATAAAAGATTTAAACTGGCAGTATTTTTAGCGGCGCCCGATTTTTAGTCGGCTTTGATACATCACGAAAATAGAAAAATCGTGTAAGTAGGCGGAAAATGCATCCGCCTAATATGTAAATAAGTCGGATATTGTTGAGTCACTGTTTTAATATACGAACAGGTATATTTTACGTCTTGTATAAGATTTCACTCTTTGATAGTTACTGGATATGCTCGGCACTCTGAGTTAGAGTTGGGAGTATGTATCTCTCAAAATGAAATCAGTGAAAATCGGCACATGTTCGTTACTTTCGTTAAAATACATGCATGTAGATTAATTTCTAATAACACTCACCAATAAATTCTATGGCTTTAGGAAAATGACTAGCTAAGTTTTGAGACCAATGGTCCGTAATAGGTATCTGCATGTACTTTATGTTTCCTTGGTCTTCAAAGACGTTAGGCAGGTCTGGAGTTACATTCAGTACGTACTGTAAATAAAATGAAAATCAATCAGTTGTTAAACATCAGATAACAAACCGTAGAAGCATAAATATTCTAGGAAAAAATTAAAAATTTTTACACAAGTCTAAAAAACACAAAGACCTATATAGGAAGAAATATTAAATTTTATATTATTTATTATTATTATTATTCTAATGACATATAAATGTAATTAATTTGAATTTGGCTTCTAAAGAAACAAGTTCTTTCCGCGTTCGATTATCAGAAAACACGGAAAGAACTTATTCATCTTTTAAATATCTATCTAATCATTTTATCTATGTTTTATTTTTATTTTGTTGTGTGTATATGTTAGGAATTGCTATCTTGTTAATCTAATTTGCGAGATAAGTTTAAATAGCTTATTTTATATAATGTCTTAATCAAAATAAGTATCCTTTACTTCGATTTTATTATTTAAATTGTTAATTAACGTATATGTACAGTTTGTAGTATTATAAATATTTTTTTGAAGAGACCTGAAGAAGGAAATATTTTTTCCGAAACGTCGGAAACTAATAATGACATGTAAAAACTAAGCCCCGGGATTGGTAGGAGTTTTCCCCAGCTATTCAATGATGGAAACCGGTTTGACCATGACGGTCAAGTCGATGTTATTAACTGGAACCCCACACTTTTGACCCCGTAAATGAAAGGAGCGGAAAATTTTACATTTAAATATGATCTTGACCATTCTTAAATTTTGACCTTAGGAGGTCATGGTCAAGGTCAAGCCCAGGTACGGTGATATAAACTTAAAATCCACTAGTTGTATAGCGAAACAACCGAGACATTATTTCCATGATTTCCCCCAGATATCCAATGGTGACCTTGGATCTGACCTTAACCATGATGACCTTCGAGGTCATGAAGGTCAAGTCGACTTTTGTAGCTCGGGAACAATCCTGAAAAAATATTTTAGTCAGTTAAGTAGTCAAGTCAGTTCATCTGGGGATTACCCAGTTTTCTGAATTATCAAGAAATTGAGGTAAACTTGTGTCTGACATTGACCAAAGTCCAAAAATGGTCGAGAACATATTCGAAGATTAAGGTCTGCCTTTTCACCATTTCTGCGGTCAAAAGTATCGGGACAAACAAGAGTTGACTTTCAAATAAACTTGAAATGTCAGTATTGGATATGTGGTGAAAAATTATAAAAATAATGTCTCGGTAGCTTCCCTATACGACTACTGGCTTTCAAGTTATACCACTGTACCCGGGTTTGACCTTGACCATGTCCTCCTAAGATCAAAATTTAAGAATGGTCAAGATCATATTTGAACGTAATGTGTTTCGCTCTTTTCATTTACGGCGCCAAAAAAGGGGGGTTCTATTAAAAAAATCAAATTAACCTTCAAATCACCTTGAAGGTCATGGTCAAATTCAGTATCACCATTGGATAGCTGGAAAAACTCCTATAAATCGCGAGGTTTCGCTTTTTTCGTATCATTATTAGCTCACAAATTATCGTGGAGTGCCATAACTTTTCAGATACCCTGTGTACCTACGTTTGCCAGTAAGACACAATAATGACTCGAAAAACTTTTTGAAATATCGTTTGTACTTTTACACTAGCAAGATTCCGGTTCTAAGTCACAAACTATCCAAACAAACTGTAATTGTCAAAGACACTTGAAAGATGAGCATGTTGCAATACGCAAATTCTATCGAAAGCCCATTTTCATAAGGCTGATATGGGATATTTCAACGAGCTCTCTACTTTTCTGAGCTGGAATCCCCGAAGGACTGGCCTATGAATCATAAACATACATTCTACGCTCTATTCTATCCTATCAGCACAAATATTGCTCCAATTTAACCCATCAATCTTCAAACAGGCTGAAATGAGCGCAGGCGCTAATTGCGATAACAATGACCTAGGTTCGTTTCAACCGCTCGACGCATTATACTAATTAAGACACATCAAGAGTAATTAATCGACAGTAACTTACTTGTATACTATGTTTGGCTAACGCTTGCCGGTCCTCGCTGTTTGCCGCATTGCCCAGGAAAAGGTATGGTAGAATTTCCACAGGAAATTCTCTGTCGTCCTCAAAACCTGAAGTTGGATAAAAAATGTTTGAAATATCGAATTACATCTTCAGTTTTAAGTCTTTTAAATTTGCGTTTGTAAGAACGTTGTTGAAACCGGGGTAACTGCTTAATGGCCGTTATCATCAAATGAAAACATAATAAGTGCAAGCCTTGTGTTGCTTTTTAGCCTTTGTACAGCCTATATAAAAGTAACTGACGCACCACCAAGAAGTAACAAAGAGTTTTTTAAAATCACTCCTTCAATAGTTGTATTTACATTTTTGTCAAATTTGGAATAGACAGATAAATATGCTTAATTGTCTGAAGAATAAAATATTCTTAACGACAAAGCTAGCTTAGAACTAAACTATAACTTGATTTCAAATATAGATCTTAAGTAGGTGAACTGTAGAGCTCACACATAGTATAATCGGGTCTACATACTAAACAGTTTCTAAGTTTTAAGAGTGTCTCATAATCTCAGTACATATACAGGGTCCGTCAGAAAGAACGCATGTTTTTTAAATGAGAAGTATGGGAAAAATATTTTATTATATCAATATACAAAATTTACGTTCTAAAAACTATGTCGGCCATAAGGCGCCCTTGAGCCGAAATGGCGGAATCAAGCCTCTCCCGAAATGAGCCCATTGCGTCGGCCAGCATCCGTGCATGAATTTGGGTTACTTCTCTTATTTCCTCCTTCAAATCAACAAGGGTCCGAGGCTTGCTTTGGTAAACTTTTGATTTCAGGTAGCCCCATGAAAAAAATCACACGTTGACAGGTCTGGGGGCCATGGAATATCGCCCAAAACGTATGATGTACTATGACTATGTGAGACAGTATATAGACCAGGCGTTGCGTGGTGTGTAGGTTAACCTAGTTTTTAAACAAACCGCATTTGAAAAACCGAAATTTGCACATTCCTAGAGCAGTAACGTAGTTACAAGATCCTATTGATACTCCGCGAGTGTACTGAGAACATCACGGTCGTCCTCACTGTTTCTTTCCATCAGAGCTGCATATATTGTTTATATCGTGAAAAGCCATCTGATTGAACACAGTTGAAGACCTAGACAGCCTCAAATGTTGCAAATTTAGGAAGACAAACTCATTTTTTGAACTCGAAGCAGTGTTTACAAAACAAAACATGCGATAGGGCAGTACTTGAAAGTCTTTACCAAATGATAGTGATTATTTTTCTTCAATTCCTTTTTTACGTTTTCAGTGTTGTTTTGTCGCAAGTTATTGTATTGCAAACGTAGTTGCCTTTGAAAAGGAAAGTCCCAATAATCAGGACATCCTGCAGGATAAGTGGAAACATTGTGACCTGACTAAGGAGATTTTTTTATTCACTTTGCAAGAATATTGTAACATATGGCAGCATTGTACGAAAATCGCTTAAATAGAGTCAGAGAAGGCGGTGATATTCTGATTATAGGAGGATCCCTTATATGCCTATCATGGATGTCATTGATGAATATAGTTTTTTCTGACAGATGGCGTTTTCTCAAGTTAGTAGTAGAAGAAAAATATTTATGGAAAATATGAGAATAGAATGTAAACTAATAATGAAATAAGGCTGACTGTTATGTTTCCATTTCATCTAACAATGGTTTAAATCAATAAAATGGGGTTACTCGAAATGGACACAACTTTAATCCCGTATCAGTATCCCAACCTTGTAATGACAATACATTTATGGTCAAGAACTATGGTAACTGTAATAATGCTGATTGCTCTACCTAACTCGTTCTTTAATACTTGAGGCATCCGTAACATGAAGAAGGATCCAAATTTTTGTTCTGATTGAAGGTCGGGCTCCATCCTAGTACAGATGACTCTTGGATTATAAAAGTGTATGCTTTTTAAGTAGAGGAATCTGAGGTCAATCACAGTTGTCCCATAACTGCTGCATGATGGCAGTGATGATTTCGGTAATGACAAATGACAGGAATTACGTCATCATATCTGCAGCTTCGTATTTACGGGAACATTCAAATTGTTTGTAAGATGGCAATGCTGATTTCGTTAATGACAAATAACAGAAATGATGTCACCATAGCAGCAGGTCCGCATTTACGGGAACATTCAAATTAACTTAAAATAGCATTTTATTGGACTGAATTGATTCGAAAGCAAAAACAAAAATATATCTTTCCTATTACTTGACTATTCGTTTAAGAAAAATATACTCACCAAGCGAGCTGTCACAGCGATCGTCCGCGTCCGAGCTATCAGTCGAGCTGTCCGCCGCTAGGGCGAGCGGGTGTCTGTAACCTGTCGATGTAGGGGTGAGCGGGGCATGCGAAATCCTCAATGACCGCAACCCCATTAACGGGAGAGTGTCACCTCCCAACGCGGGGGAGCCGTCTGAGGGTTGGTCGCCACCTGTGCCCCCGTCTGAGCCGCAGCAACAGCCATTGCACCACTCTGGGTAAGCGGTTCGGAACGAGGTGAAACCTCCTGGAAAAAAAGAATGGATATTGAAATCTGATTGAATTGAATCTGTACCGGGTGACCCAATAATAAAGTACGCCGGCTACATTTCAGCAACGGCTTAACCTAGAGCCATCAGTTAAAAAGATTTACAACAAAAGTGACCAAGGAAAATTGCTAGAAATTATTTTCAGCTTCCTAAAATAGGCAACTAGGGGGCGAATTTTCAATTTCAAAAATGCAAACGCGATTATTATGCAAAAATGCATAATTAACGTACTAATTTGAAAACTCTATTATGTTGATTGCTCAATTTTCGAACTTTTTTCTCAATGTCATTTTTCCATATTTTGTTTCTTTCAGGGTGAGGGAAGGGTACAATGACATTTCAGAAAAAGGTTTCATTCGAAAGAGACTTTGCTCCTACTTAAGGATCAATCTTGTCAAATTAGTTCATTCTGTGTCCACTAGATGGCGTTTTATGGATGTGTCAGTTTTTTTTAGTTTCTCGAAAATTTCAAATACAACTGTTTTCAATATTGTTAGGAAAGAGCAAAGACCCCAGTTTTCATATAAGTTTTTTCCAAGATGGCGCCCAGCGGCCATCCTGACTTTTTCATGTGTCAATTTTACTCTAAAATATGGTATCCACGCATCAATTTCATTACCTCAAGTTTTAATTTTTTGAACTGATCCGTTCATTCGTTAATTCGAGAAGGTACGCCACATAGCGGCAACTACAGAACCTTCGGGGTCAGTCTCGCACCTCGCTTCGATGCCGAAGGAGAGTCCCTGGAGACGTTCCCAACAGGTGGCGCTAGTAGTACCATTCATTCTTTTACAGTATTCCTCTGTATATTTTTCATTAAATCTCCATAACGAATAAAGATATTCATATGCGGTTGACACATCCATAAAATGCTATCCAGTGGCCACAAAGTGGACTAATTTGACATGATTGAGAGTTTGGTAGCAGAACAGGCGCAAACCCTTCCGAATGTTCTGAATTTTTTTAACAGATGGCTCTAGGTTACGCTGTTGCTGAGATATAGCCGGCGTCCTTTATTATTGGGTGACCCGGTACATAGGTGAATCAAATATAAACGAGCCAGCCGGCGTCTAGCGGCTTGAGCAGTCTGCAGTGTGTATAACAAGGAAGAAATACCACTCACTTGTTATTAATGCAACACAGGATGATAAAAAACGTACATCTCACGGTTGCACAACGCATTTTATATCGTCAACAAAAGTGTGCTAGTTCAAGAAAAGCACGCGTAATGAGAGTACTAGTAGTGTAAGCAAATCATACACATACGCGGTTAGCTGTAAGAAAGATTTTCTCACGGGGCTGTAAAGGTCTATCGAAATTCTGCGCTATCGTATTTCGATAGATCGTACCTCCAAGATAGAGGATAGTTGCGATGCTCTCCTTCGTTGTCCCAGAGACGAGAAACCAATGCTGATGAATAGCCAAGAAGGACGAAACAGCTGTCCATGGTTGGCTGTCTTTTATAAAAATAGATTGTATTAAGTCACAATGCAATAGAATGAGAAGAGATAATAGTTTATGGATAAACGGATAAAAACTCTGATCAAAAATACAAAATATGAAAATGTTCTGCAATTCCTGTGAATATATTTTTTAACTGTACGGGAACAGTGGATAGTCTTCAGATCCTCGCCTAAACTGTGGTAAAATAAAATTGCATTGTAAGTAAAAGAACTTCGGAAAAGTGTTGTGCAGTGTATTGGCATGGTTAAGGTGTAACGGATTATGCACAGACGCACTTGGAAGAAGTTTACAACTGAGGTGATGATGTTAGTACTATCCTGTGAGTAAAGCTTAGAATGGAGTATATGAAAAAAGGTTTTGAACGCTTAGCCATGAAAGATTGTGATTTAAATGTGATACATGATCGAAATTTCTTAGGCCTTCGATAAACCTTACACAGGTAATGTGCCATATCTGCAAACCCCCTTTCCCGTGTACCCCCCTATAGCCCCACGGTACCCAATGGGTGTTTAGGCTTTATGCCTTCGTGTTAGTTGGAGTATAAAAAAACAGTTTGTGTTTAAAGACGTCAGACAAGGGTAATATATCGATAAACCATATCACTTTCTAGAAATAACTAGACTTTGAACAATTTAATTTTGATGTGTGTGTGTTTGCAAACAGAAGTATGAGGGATAGATAACAATTTTTCAAGACATTTAGATGGGAGTTAAAACGTAAATGCCCAAATGTTTTACTTAGAACACATAATTCCCTCCCCATTAACTTTGATATGAATTAAAGATTTAAGATTATTAGTATGGCAGAATATTTCGAGGGATTTAGTCTTAAGTTGTGAGAACTACAGTACCTATTAGCACTATCAAGATCTGTATTTTCTAGCATCATGGACTCCTGAAAATTAAAACCACACTTCATCTGCGTATCATCAGCAAAAAATTAATCCGTAAATCCGCAGTGTACAGTAAAAACATCAACGGTCCCAGTACTGAGCTTTGCGCTACACCTGATTGAATGTATTTTGATGTCGGCATTTGATTTTTCAGATTTACTTTTTGCCCACGTCCCCTTAAATATGACCAAATAAAGTAGCAGGCAACTTCATCAAAGCCATAGTAGTGACATTTGGCAATAAGTAGTCGATGGTTAAGCGTATCGAAGGTATTGGAAAAGTCTAACAGTACCAGCAAGCTCATCTTCCTAAATTCGCCTTTGTTTGAGGTGGAACGGGCCGAAGGCCAAACTCGAAGGTCTACCGCAAAAAGGTAGATCTTGCAGCGCTGCTCAAGAGTTCAAAAAAGTGGAAGTATAATCAATTTTCAAAAATTTTTCATAGAAAAGGGTCGTTTAAAGAACCACGAAATTTCTTTATGTTAGATTATGAAGTACATAGCACATCCACCATTTTTGAGATCAAGTACACCGTCCACCACGGATGATCGAAATAAATTCAAAAACGAGGTTTAGAAGTAACTTTACATCAATTTTTTATGACACAAAACGTCCAAAATATTTCCGCGATGATCAATGACAAAAGCCACATTCAGGAGACGACAGCTTCATCACCCACTTACATATATATCAGATTTCCGGTGTAGCTCATTTATTTTGCGATTTAATTTTGAGCAATTGAGCAATTCTAAGATTCTACAAAATGCCAAGACATTTGTGACAGAAGCATATTAGCATTGATTAGCGTATTCGTGGTATTTCTGAACAAACTCCCTGCTTAGCTGGAGCTGTTTTTTGAATCACTCTGCATATAATCGCATTGAGAGAGAACGTACAACCGACCATCTACGAAATTGGTCCTGAAATTGTTATTTATTATATAAGGAAAGGTTGTCTATCACAGGTAGATGCGTGACTCCTTCAGACAATGATAACAATCAAAGCTCTACCGTAAACAATTTTCAATTGCAAAGTGTATGTAGGTTTGAAACGGTGCTAGCGAACTGTAGCACACAGGACAGGAAACCAGATCCGCCCGCAAATCTCGGAAACGATAGTTGTTTATGTGGGCACCTAACACCTATTCGTCCTAGCCATACGACGACGGTAGGCACCAGTGAGTGTACTGGACCAACAACATTGCCGCCCTGGCTTTCCAATGAATAAAATAGCTCAAACGTAGGCGAGAGACTCATTATGTTTGAATTGCATGAAATCATGACGCGGTTGGGCTGGGGACTGATTAGATCAGTAATGCTGGCATAAGAGAGCAGAATTATAGTATACTGGTGCAGAAAAGTCCAAAAATAACTAAAAATATACTTGTAAACTCAGGTTCAAAAAATATATCAATCAGAAACATCTTCTTTGCTCAGGTGATTCTAGAGGTGTCGAAATGCGAAAACTAACCCTTGTGGCAGGAGGGAGAACATATTATTTACAAGTCGATTTTTTTTCGAAAATTTATCGCGAGAAGGTTAAGGTGAAACTCTGTTCTTGTTATGAAAAAACCCAAATCTGTTATTTGGTCTAAACAATCTGTATATCGTAAGAAGCCATTATGTTTGTAAAAATGGATGCTGGTCATAATGTCATTAATTACTAAGTACCAAATGAAGCCTCCGGAGATTATCCCAGAGACTACGCTTTCCCTCAATTCATTCAAGGGTTAATGAATCTTCAAATTAATACAAGAAGAGTGAATTTTTCTAGTACAACACGCATGATTCCTAGTTATCTTCGTTTTTGTTCAGATAATCTTTTATTTTTGACACCGAAGCAGCCGCGCAGTCAGAAGCCTAAATCCCAGGACACTGCAGCTGCTATGATGAGCTTAAAGAAACTTTGTTAATCCGATTTTTGAACTGCCCAAGGTTAGTAGAACATGTAGATTGTTCCACAATCTTGAAACCCATGGTAAAAGCAGCGGTAGTATCGGCCAGTTCTGGATGTACGAAGTTCGACACGGTTAGGATGGGAGGCCAAAGTCAGGCGAGTCTGTCAGGCAGGCAAATCACGCGGCGGCATCATGGAGAAGAGATCTGAGGAGCAAAGCCGGTTGGCGAAGCTAGATTGCCGACGGTCCGCCGGTGCGAAAGGGTCCCGAGACTGTCCGTTAGACAAGAGTCATCGATCAGTCGGACAGCCCTCATCTGAACAGCATCGAGCATGGATAATATAGTCGGGGCGGTAGCACCCCAATCATGTGAGTAATACTTGAAGCTAAGCCTTATCTGGGCCTTGTACGGAGTAAGAAGATCATGTGGAGCAAAGTACTTCTTAGCCCTAAACAAATGGCCTTGCTTTTTCCCAGCAGCGGTCGCTACTGATGTTCGTGCCAGATCAAGTCCTCGGTAATCTGGACTCTACCAGCCGAAATTAACGTCTCTTCGGTAGAACTCGGCCATCCATCGAAACCGGATGAGCGCTAGGACGCTTTTTGTTCGCCAAGTACAGTACTTGGAAGCATTAAACTGAACAAGATTGTTACGCCCCCAGGCAGTGATAACCTCCAGGTCTCTCGTCAGACAGGAAGTCACAGCTAGTCTTCTTTTCTCCAGCT